CACACACGTAACACACACATGCACACACACACGCATACACACACACACACGCGCACACACACAACACACACACACATAACACACACGCACGCGCGCACACGCACGCGCGCGCGCGCACACACACACACACACACACACACACACATACACGCACACACACACGCACGCGCACACACACTCCCCTCTGCATTGTGTCTTGGAAAATGAATCTGGTTCTTTATTTGTCCCCTTCTGTGACCCAGAACTGGTGAAGATAATTGTGGCTGCGCCTCCCACTAAGATCAGCCAACTCTGCTGAGGAATTCAGCCTGGGATTTACTGGTCTGATCGTTAACCGAATAGGCCAAAAGGGGTTGCTCTGAGTATTTTCAATGGCAAGGTGTCATTACTACCTGCTTTTGATGGCCGTGATGCAACAACAACTTGAGTTAACAAATCACATTTGACATTGCAGCACAGTCATTTGGTCAGATAGGAAATAGCACTGAACCATTGAAGGAAACATTAAGTCAGATGACTGAAAAAGTGATCGAAAAAGCAACTGTTAAAGGAGAAATTTTTGAAAGTTGTGCAAAGAGACAAAGATGTTAAGACAGGGAATTCTGAAGCATCATGATTGATGAGACAGCAACCATTGGTGACATGAAGTGAGTAGGTTAGATTTACGGAAACACAGAGATCTCAGACTGCTGGATGGGACCTGAGAGGGTCCGACTCTGTCGGGTTTAAGTTTTAAAGTCACGGTGCTGGTAGATTGGTGCATGGGGTTGTTACCACTGCTGCCTCACGGCACCAGGGACCGGGGTTTGATTCCACCTTCGGGCAAATATCCGGGTAGATTTTGCATATTCTCCCCGTTCCTGCGTAGGCTTCCTCCAGGTGCTCCGGTTTCCTCCCACGATCTAAAGATGTGCAGGCAAGGTGGGTTAGCGATGAGAAATACAGGGCCACAGGGGTAGGGGGGTTGGGGTTTGAGTGGGATGCTCTTCAGAGGGTAGCTGTGGATGCAATGAGCCAAATGGCCTGCTTGCACACTGTAGGGATTCTATGGCTGTAGATGGAGAGCCAACATACGCCATTGTACAGAGGGGTGATGGGTGATTGGTACCGTTTAGGCTATGGGCAACAAAGTGCTGGATAAGCTCAGGTTTATAGCGAGTGAGAAGATGCCAACCAGAAACCAAACTAATGGCTGAATTAATAGCGTTCTGGGTATTAGTGCACAAAGACAATAAGTGAGAGTGATGCATGTTAGGATGAGGAATGCTTTTGACAGGTACTGAAGCAAAAAAATTATTAACAACCTATTTCCAAGCCCGTGACCACCTTTCTCACCATTAACATTCTGTTTTGTCTCAGATGTTGCACAGCAAAAGGACCAAGCAGTCAGGGCAATGGTCCTCAAGAGAACCCGGCAGTGGCGATGACAGGGAAGAGGACTCTGAATCGAGCGGAGACTGTGACGATGAAGATGGATGCACGGGATCTGGAAGCGGAGAAGTGGTCCGTAAGGAGAATACATGTGAGTTGTCTTACAGATGGTTGGTTCCTAATGACACTTTGTGAAAGTGAGGTGTAAGGAGAACCTTGGAGGTGAATCTGATACAGACTAACCCATTGAGTGTAGTTCTTGAATGCAGTTCTATAGTGGGAATACTCTCAGGTTTCATACTGATACAATAGATGCAATCTAATTATTACCTTCCGTAGAGTTTGAGAGCTGTGGGCGATACATCTATGTTTGCTGACTGTAATAAAGCTGATAACAAGTTATTGCCAGCTTTTTGACTTCCAACAAATGTGAAATCATGAATTATTTGTCCCAACTTATCCACTGGCTCCTGCTTTAAAGAATAAGTATCTGGATGGTATGACCGTGGTGTGGAACATTGCCACGAGTGAGCAAATGACAACTTCAGAGAGTCAATATCCCTCAGTCCTACCCTTAAGCTTCTTCAGATCTCAAATAAAGCTTTTAAACATCATTGATTAATGTACACATATGCCCGTACTTTAATCAAGGAATTTTTAAAAGGTGCACTTGAGATCTGAAGCAGTTTAAGGGTGGGACTGAGACATATTGACTCTCCAAAGCTGTCAATTACTGACTCATGGCAATGTTCCACATGATTGTCATGTGATCCAGATACTGATCCTTCAGAGCAGGAACCAGCTGGATATGTCAGACAAATACTTCATTATATCACATCTGTTGAAAGTCAAAAAGCAGGCAATAACTTGTTATCAGCTTTAATGCAACCATTCAACATGGAAAAAGTGTAGCATCAGACAATGCTTTTTGACAGTACACAGTTGAGTTTTCTTACTGGTGGACTTAAGATTTAGCACTGATATGAAGGCTTGTAACTGTTGGAAACATTGTGGGTTTTTTTACCCCGAGGTCATTTATGTGGGTGTAATGGTGGGCCAAGGCTGGGGAGTCATTGGTTTGAATCTGGATGAAGCCACTTTCTGTTACGATCATAAGTGTCTTCAGAAGATACTGGAAATACTGTGCAGATCAGGCTGTGGGTAGAGAAATAGAGTCATAGTGTTGTACAACACATAAACAGACCCTTCAGTCTAACTTGTCCATGCCGACAGATATCCTAAATTAATCTAGTCCCAATTGCAGCATTTGGGCCATATCCCTCTAAACCCTTCCCATTCATAAGCCCATCCAGATGCCTTTTAAATGTTGTCATTGTACCAGCCTCCATCACTTCCGCTGGCAGCTCATTCCACACTCTCACCACCCTCTGCGTGAAAAAGTAGCCCCTTAGGTCCCTTTTATATCTTTCCCCTCTCACCTTAAACCTATGCCCTCTAGTTTTAGACTTCCCCTACCCTGGGGGAAAAAAAAACTATGGCCTATTCAGCCTCTCCCTTGAGCTCAAACCCTCCAATTCAGCAACATCCTTGTAAATCTTTTCTGAACACTTTCGTCTTTCCGACAGCAGGGAGACCAGAATTGAATGTAATATTCCAAAAGTGGTCTCACCAATGTCCTGTACGCCGCAAGACAAAGAGAGTTAACATTTTAGAGCTTTCAAATGTTGGGAATATATATCAGAGTGATAGTATCCACTGTATTTTGCACACATATTATGTTTGCTGTCTTTCTTGGTTCCAATTTGCCATTCAAAGACACCCTGACAGAACTGAGGACAATCTCACAGCGGGGAAGATGGGAGGTTCTTAACTGTTAATATCAATCTACAAACAATGATGAGATTTGTTAAACTCGATAAGCAGTTTGTTGTTCATTAAACTAAATCGATCACAGGGAGAACTTAACCTTGAACCTGGAGTCCTAGCAAGTAGTGAGCCTCAGAGACCAGAGTCCCAGCAGGTAATGGTCTATGAAACCAGAGGCCCAACAGATACTAAATGATAAACCTGGGTTTAGCAAGCTAACCCATTGACTCTGAGCCTGTACTAATACCACAGTGAACTCTAGTTACTCCAGGTTGAGTGAATAGTAAGGCTTGTCACTGGAGATCCAGCAAAGGAATACTAATGAATCTTGACTGTTGAGTTAAGATGTAAATTTGAAAGGTCTTGGTGAAGTTTGCTTCAACAAGAATACCAGGAAGTATGCATCAAGGAGAGAGCACTACCTACAGGCCTTTGGGCCAAAAGGAGGAGACAAGATTTAGCCATGTGTAGCCTACATTTTATGGTTGCCTTATCAATTGGAGTAATCATGTCAACCTCTGTAAAGTGAAGAGACATGTTGTGAACAATGACCTTCTGTGTCAGAGCCAAAGAAAACAAGAGAGGAACAAAGGAATTTAAATAAGTGGAAGAGTTGATCCAGGGTTTCTGCAAGCTTGTAACTAAAGCTGGCCCATTTGCAAATCTTGACACAAGCTTTACTAATGTACTGGGTAATTCCAAGTTGAATTGTTTTGACTGTTGCGTCAAAGAGAGTGAAATATAATGAAGTCAATATTCAAGGTGTATGTTGGACAATATAGAACTTCAATGATTCAAGGAGACAACCGGAGTCAAAGGGGCTTATTTTGTTGGTACACAGCAATGATAGAGATCCTATCTCAATGCCAATGTACTCCTACAAGTGAACCATTGCAGCCTGCAATCACCTCACTTTTCAACCTGGCTAGAAGTTGCTGAAATAATGACACTCTGTCTACTTAAAGGGTTGAAGAATACCAGAACAGGTTTCCCCTACGCTCTCTGCCATAAGGCATTTCCAAACAAAACATTTCAGTGAAATAGAAATAGAGAATGAAAGCTGGTTAAAGATGTTTGTTTGAGAGCTCACTGCTCCAGCTTGTAACACGATACATTAAGTAAGCACAAACTGCTTGCATTGCTGGAATCTCACTGGCAGTCACTGCTTCGTAGAGGAAACCACACTGACAGAGACGGGTAGAATGTGGCACTAACTGAATGGTCTGATCCTGATACACCTGCAGAGAGCATGCAGCTCTATGGGCTGCACTCCAGGTCATGTCGCTCACTGCTGGTGCACTGTTTGCAGGGTCAGCACAGACTGCTTCAGGGCAAGTATGAAAACCTGCACGTTCTTGCCGTCATTTAGAACCGTACAGGAGGGAACAATATTAGCGACTGTGAGCACCTTGTTCTTCCATGTATCTAAACTTTACTGTGAGTGAGAGCGTTCATCAGCAGAAATGCCCACTTGGAAAATGGGAAGTGCCCACATGTCCAGAGCTTCCACTTAGTACCAAAGTCCCATCTCTTTACGGTGAATGGCAAACAACAATCAGTCAACCTCAATCTTGAAGCATTCATTGTTACTTTACAGCAATAATTCTTCAAGTGAGTAAATGTCTCATTCCCAACTTGAGAGACTGCCACACTGAGGGACCACCACACAGAGACCCCCCACACTGAGAGACTGCCCACACTGAGTGACTCACCCAACACTGAGATATTCCCAAACCGGGACTCACACCCCACACCGAGAGACTCCCACACAGAGACCTACCCTCCATACTGAGAGACTCTGACAATGAGAGATGCCTTCAGTCAGACTCTATCGTTAAACAAATGTCACAACGAGTGTTTTTCTGGAATGCGGCATCAGAGGCAAAGTATCGCTTGGAGTGGCTTTATTGGAGCAACCCTTGCTCACTAAGGAACGTTAGAGAATTGTTTGTCCATTATGGTGTGAGATGGTTTGAGAGAACAGGAGTCAACAGCAATGTTTTGTATCTGTAAAGCAGTTTAATGTAACAAAATATCCCAAAATGCTTCACAGAAATATTATCAGGTCCTATTTGATCCCAAACTGTGTAAAGATATGTCAGGACATTGCACCAAAAACTGGCCATGACGTCGCATTTTAGCGACTTAGACAATTGCAATACTTCAGGCCACAGTAGTAAAGGTGTGAGCTACCAATGGTGACCTGAATAAAACTGGAGATTTGTTTTGCATTTAATCGTTAACCTGTTTTGAGTATCACTGGCTGGGCCAGCATTTATTGCCCCTCCCTCATTTCCCTTGAGAAGGCAGTGTTGAATTGTATTCTTGAACCATTGCAGTCCTTGATTATAAGTACATTCACAATAGGGAAGGAATCCTACGATTTTGACCCAATGACAGTGAAGGAATGACAATGTGTTTCCAAGTCATGATAGGGAGTTGTTCGGAGGGGAATTTGCGGGGGGTGGTGTTCCCATGTATCTGCTGCCCTTGTCATTCGAGATGGAAGTAGGTTTGGAAGGTACTGCTGAAGGAACCTTGACAAGTAGTTGCAGTGCATCTTGTGCATGGTAGACATTGCAGCTGCTGTACCTCAGTGCTGAAGGGAGTATGGTGGACTTGGTGCCAATCAATTGGGCTCTTTGTCCTCAATAGCATTAAGTATCTTCTGTGTTATTGGGGCTGAGAGCACCCCAGCGTGTCAAATACTTTAGAGACTTCTAAGAAACTTTAGAGTCAGATACTTTAGGGACTTCTAAGCGACTCTTGGATAGTCACATGGAGGATAGTAAAATGTAGGGTATGCAGGCTGGATTGATCTTAGTAGGATAATAGGTCAGCACAACATCGTGGGCTGAAGGGCTTGTACTGTGTTGTACTGTTCTATGTGCTATGTTCTATGTTCTATGTGTGCAAAGTAGTGCTTCACAGTCCTGACTTGTGTCTTAGTTGCCAGTCTCTGGGGCTTCAGGAGATCAATTAAACACTGAAAGGATTCCCAGCCTCTGTGTTTTTGTTGCCACATTATATATATGGCTAAGCCAATCAGTATCTGGTCAATGGTAACCCCCAGGATGTTGTTTATCGGGTATTCAGTGACAACAATGCCAGTGAATATCAGGAAAAATGGTTGGCTTCTCTCTTGTTGGAGATGGTCATTGCTTGGCATTTGTGTGGCACAAGTGTTACTACATCAGCCCGAGTCCATCTAGTTGCACTTGGAGATGGGAAACTTTGATATCTGAGGAGTTGTGAATGGTGCTGAATATTGTGTAATCATCAGTGAACATCCTCACTTCTGACCTTATGACGGAGGGAAGGTCATTGAGGAAGCAGCTGAGATGACTGATTCCCAACAACTGCTACCA